CTCGAGCTATGACGAAGATTTCTGCCCACCTCTCTAGTCATATTTGGATCGAGCTGGACGCTGCGGCGGTCGTCACCATCCTGACCTCGGGCCACCAGGGCTCGTGGCAGATTCAACACCCGCTTATGCGCATTAGAGCCCTTCTGCGGTCTGTCCATCACAGGATTACGCACATTTTCCGTGAGGAAATAGACCAGCTGACTACCTTGCCAGCCTTGGCGCCACCACACCTGACCTACACACGTTTCAGACCGACACTGTTCCACTCCGCCTTCGCACGCTGGTATGGATGGACTAGCTTGGATATCCATCTTTCCGCTTTAGTAGATTAGATTTTGTTCTCATTAGAACATACATTTATTCCGGGCACCTGTTAGCCCACTGACAGACTTTGTATTATTTTCTGTTTCTGGTTTTGTTTTCTTTTTTGCCTGTGAGACTATGTTGACTGTAGCTGTTTGATATTTTGGGCCCGTTTTGGGGTCTTGATCTATGTACAGGTTGGGGATCCAGCCCAATCTCCCGCCTCTCGGGGCGTTTTATATTAAAAAAAAAAAACCTAGCACTTTGCCACCTGGACACATATATCCCTACCCTCTACTGACAGTTTCTTTGAACTCCTGAGTTTTTTCTCACAGAGCACACACTTTAGACACGTGGGCTTCCTCATTCCTTGTCTGATCCTTTGGTTCACCTGGATAGAAAGGAATAGTGCGAAGCATAGGGATATTACTTTTTTACTTTCTCACATTGTTTTACAAGTAGAGAGACATCTTTCACTCCTCACATCATTGGGCAGGCTCACTGCCCGAGACTGGACAGGTTGCACGCCACCACACTGCTACATGGTGGCTCCCCCTGCGCCTGTTTGGCCCCCTCGACCCAGAGCTGTTGTTTGGCTTCGACCCGACTCTCATTGGGTCAAGCTGAACACTGATGGTTCTTTCGATCGCAAGACCGGAGTTACTGGAGGAGGAGGCTTGATCCGGGACCACAGCGGTGGCCTCATCACCTCCTTCCACACGTCCCTTCAGGCCTCCTCGAGTTATGATGCAGAGATTCAGGCATTACAGATTGGCCTTCAGATTGCTGCCCACCTTTCTAGTCACATTTGGATCGAGCTGGACGCTGCGGCTGTTG